CTGCTATCTGGTCCATACAGCTCTCCTGCAGGACAGAGTCATGTCTTTGCTACTCTTAGGCCATTAAAGCAATGACAAGTTATTTTAGCACATAGCTGCACTAGGCAGGATGCTAAGAAAATGTTATGCTCTTTTGATGTGGGAAGTCTGCTTTATCCAGTCAGTTCTTAGCAAAGCTATGCCTTTTCTTATAGCAAGGTATTTGTAAACCCTTGTGTTTCTCTCTCTTGAAGCTCAAATAAAAGAACATAGCAATATGGGAAAACCTCTGAGAGTTTTCCCCTTTCTCAGGCTATAAATTAGATTAGAGTTAGATTAGAATTCTTCCTTTCTCCAACCAAGTAGTTCCTAGCAAAGCAGTGTCTGTCTTCCAGTCACCACAGTTCCCAGTAGAGCAGCTGCAAAGCCTGCCTGTCAACTTTCATTAGTTCCTGTCAACCCCTCTATTGTATCTTATGTAAGCAGTAACTCTGTTTACATACAGATACTTCCCTTGTTTCCCCTGTCTCTCACTCCTCTAGAGCTCAGCTTCATTTCTTGCTTCTGTCTTCAGCACGTTGTCTCCTACCCCATCCTCTTCTCATCTTTGTCTTCTAATACTCTAAACCAGGGCTTTCTCATAAGTAGGGACCTGTCTTTACAACTCTAATTTATGATTTGAAATTCAAAAATTCCACCTTTCCATCATCTGTGACAGAGATCTATAATCTACAATTTTCTATAGGCCTAGTTATCTTATTTAAAGTTAAAGTTATTTAAACCTTTAAAACTTTGAGAACAATCACATGCAAATGAATTGTTGGTTCACAATGTACTGCAGCCATCTTTACCATATTCATCATTCTACTTTCTAACAAGTCCTTTCACTACATTTATCTGAGGGGCAACTTTCTGTCAGAGAAGTCTGCATCTCTCCTCAACATTTTACCTAAGCTATTTCTTCTTGATTTTGTTTGTATTTCTCACATAAATGTTCTTTCTCTGCCTTTTTCAGCAACAAAATGTCCACGTGAAAGGGATCATACTTTGCATTTGCTTTTTTACTTTGGGCAGGACATACTGGTTAAAATGTAAGTGCAAATCTAACATAACAGGTGGATAAAGACCAGTCAAGCACTTCTTTTCATTAAATGGTTATGAAATTTAAAGTCTGCAAGAATCACTGGACTCCTGCTGGGCCTCTGTAGGCGCCAACAAACTGAAACCATAAAAGGATGATTAAAATCAAAAAAAAAAATGAAAGCAAAACGATTTATAAGACCCAGGCCCCCAAATTCCAACTTTTTTCAGGAATCCCTAACAACTATGTGACAGCTGAAACAACACAAAATGAAGATGAAAACACAGTATTTTATAGCTACCCCATCACTAAAGAAAAATAAACATCAAATCTGAAAATATGACACCAATGCTCTTAGTAGAAATTTGACAGCATTGTGTCATAAAGTACTCATCTTTGACGCACTTTGAAATGAAAGCCACAAATACAGAATTAAACCCCACATTACAAGGGAAAAAATAGTGGAACAATTTGCCAAAGCCTGTATTGCCTCAATAAAGGATAATAAGGTCATGCATAATAAAATAGAAACTGTTGAAATTCAGGTACATGCCAAGAACATCATGCTGATGGGCTGGCTATGAGAAGAAAAATCCAACATCTTTTTTAAGAGAAAGGTCCCAAATAATGTACCTCACAGACATGGTCTTATATGCCATACATAGAAAGACCCACCAAATTAGATACTCAGGTCTTTTATGTCCAGATACCTATCTTACTCCTTAGAAGGTTTACATATCATGTTGGACGTGCTCAGAGCTTTGACCTTCCATTTATTTAATAGAATTTTTTCTTCACACAATTCTATGGAGAAATGAAGAAAGATATGAAGTGAGCCTAAACTCAGTGCCATTAGGGTCATTATCTTTATAGATTCTAATTCCGGAGTGATTCCTAACATATGCAAGGAAGATAATTGCTATGTTTTATTAAAAGATTCATCAAAATTTTCCTGTCCTTTTGGCCTTTAATTTTAAAAGCTGCAACATATGAATTATGGACTCAAGACTTCAACATAGGTTTGTTAGGTTAAATAAATATCCTGGCAGCAATTATTGGTCAAATACTTGGAGCTCTTTACAAACTGTAGAAATTATTCTAAAATTTCCAAACTTCATTACCTAGCATCTAAAAACCAGCATTCCAGCAATTCTCTCAAAACCCATTTTTTTTTAAAAAAGGAAATGTCACAATGATTCTTCTGGATTTCAATAATATTCAAGGAGATAGTCTAGGAAATTAAAGCCAACAATTGGTTACTGTCCGCTTCCCAACTATCAATAGAGGTGTCTACATAGATATTTTGTATACTTTTGGAGGTCACCATGTCTACCAGGCTCACCACGTATGACTGGATACATAAATACATAGTATTCTGCAAAGTAGTATTTCATTTCTAACTGGTTCATTCAAAACCAAATGAAAGTGTAATCTTGAGATTCCTTTAAGTTAAGGCATTATTTAAGCTTTTAAAATCACTTACATTTCAACTGATTAAATGCCTTGGTATATCATTTGAAAAAAAATTTTTAAAAACCAAGAAAATTTAGTTCCATGTCTCATTTTTGAGCTCTGACACTAAAGTATATAATGAGCAAATCTAAATAGACTACTATGTTACTATTATTTCTCAACTGATCTTGTCATCTCACCACCCAAACCAACTCCTCCTAATTTCTTTATTTTTGCTGATGGTACTAATATTTTCTCAGATTCAAAACCTTGGCGTCATCTTTAACTCCTTTCTTTCCCTTGTCCTGTGCATCCGTAGAGGCAGTCACCATCCTGCCAGTTTTAACTCTATTGTATCTCACATTCATTCTTCACTTACATTTCTCTTGCTACCACTCTAGTTTATGTCCTCATTACTTCTCAGTTGAACTACAGCCATAGCCTCCTAAATGGCAATGAAATGTTCTCCTTCCTCACCTTTGTCTGTCATCCCTGGTTTCTGTCAAGACTCAGCTTAAATATCACATTCTGCAGGAGGCCTTCTTGGTCCTCCTGACCATTTGAGCCTTCTTTTTGACTCTGTGTGTATCTTGTAGGTATTTTTACTTACATTTTGTCTCCCTGATTAATATGTAAGTTCACTGAGGTCAGGAACTGTTTTGTTTTTCATGTTTTTACCTTAATTTGTATCCCTAGTGCTTAGCATAGTTCCTGACACATCTTAAGCACTTAACAAATGATTGTTGATTGATTGATTAAACTCCTGTTTTTATTCTTTATCCCTCCAATCTACCAATGTGTGCTGTAACTAGATTAATCTTCCTAATTAGAATCTTGATTGTGTAACTCCCTTGCTCAAAATCTTCAAATTTTAGCACACAAATATTCTGGGCAGGGTGCTGAGAAAATGTTATGCTCTTCAGTACATATAAAAAAAAAAAGAGTTTGCATTTTTTGGCTTGGCTTTCAAGGGCTCCTGCACTCCCACTACCACATTTATATGCCCTAGACAGAAGTTCAGCCATGCTATTTGTTCTTCCCTGGCCATGGTCCAAGCTTTCAAGCCTCTATTCCGATGTTCACACCATTCCCTCTGTATGTCTTCTTGCCAAAAATCCTCCCTATTCCCCAAAGTCCATCTAAAATGTTACAAAAATGTTGTCTCCCTACTCTGAACTGTTCTTGTACTTTTACGCATACCTCTCCTTCAGTATTATCATGTTATATTCATACCTTATTTCTCCTACTCAGTTTTAAGGTCTTTAAAGGCAGGGACCATGACTTGTTCATCTTTGTATCCCTTATAGGACCTAGTGTAGTTAATTCCCTGCTTATGATAGATGCTTAATTTTTTTTAAATTTAATTATGACCTATAGGGACAGTTGTTTAAAAAAAGTCTGCATCAAGTTAAAAATATAAAAACTTATAGAATGCTAGATTTGGAAGGAACATTTCAACGTAAGTGAATTTTCAAACTTTTTGGTGGTTTTCATAGCCTATTATAATGTCCATATGAACTTACCACACTGATGCCTGTAAACTTTCCCATTGTAACCTCAGTAATGCCTTCTAATTCTCCATACTTCTGAAGAACAGAAAAATTACACACACACACACACACACACACACACGCACACTTTTATGTGGCAGGTATTGTAAATGCTTTCTTTCTGTAATTATTACAACCTTACTTTTTTTTTTCTTAACAGTACTCTAAGCAATTGAGAAACCTACCCATTCTTACACACCTATGTTGTGTATGTTTTGAACTCTGTTACATAGCATGGTAATAGGGTATTCTGTTGGGGTTTGGACAAGAGGTTCTTTTAAGATCCCTTCGATATCATAGAAAGGCATAGAAGGCTAGCCTTACAGCCATGAAGATGTTGGTTCAAGTTCCACTTCTGACAGATTGCTGATTTGTCAGCCTGAGCAAGTCAATCTCTTAGTGCTGTAGGCAATACGTTAATACTGTTGCAGAAAAGGTGCCAACCTCTTTCAGTAGAGGGAGTTTCCTCATCCTGGAGTTCCCTAGTTGATAACTACACCAAACACTCACCCCGCTGTCTGTTACTTGAGTCATTTATTACTTTATTAAATCTCCTTGTAGGTTCTCAAGCAGTCAAGGGATAGGTTCTGTGCAAAATAGAGCACTCTATTGGTATGTTTAACAACATATGCCCTTATCCTGTTTCTGTGCCTTCTCCAATAAGAGGAAGGAGATAACATTCTATTTGTCCAATAAGTGATCATTTATTAAAAGTTTATATCATAAACTTTTACTTTACTTGTTTTTATATCATTTAAAATAGATAATAAGATAGAGTAGCATAATTATAATTCAATGTTAATGCATTATTCAAATCACTAGAAAATAAATTCCTAGTTTTTCTCCTCAAAATAATGTGCATAATACATTTCTTCTCAAGTTGTTTATTTCAGTTGTTCTAAATGGCATTATTTTCTCTTTCTAAACAAAATCCATAGCTTGATGAAGTGATCCGCCAGAGAAGCCTATCAACTTTGGAACTGTTTCTCTCTTGTGCCCAGAAACAATTGAGTTCTTTAATCTCTGAAGAACCAACTTCAACAGAAGGAGGAGAACATGACAAGCTGACCAGCACTGAGAGTGGCTAGATCATTTGAGTCCCTGATTTACATTCTGTGAATTACACAGATGCTTTGCTTTTCTTTTCTTTTTAAAATATTATGGATTATAGTACTGGCTTAAGGATAATACAAAACAATATTTAGAAGAACGTCAGGTGATCTAATTTGTTTTGTTTTGTTTTCTCATTTGCTTTCCTTTCAAGCATAATATGACCTAAGAAAGTAATTGAAAAATACCACATGATCAAAACCTACACTTATGTTGCAAATTTTATAGCCTCCAGTGGCCTTTTATTGGTAAATTTGGCAAAGGTAATGAGCATCGTAACTTATTGCCTCAATATGGCTTTTTACAAGATGCCAGCATGTGATCGTATAATTTATTTCTTCTTCTAGCATAGGAGGAGGCCCAAGTTTCAATATTATTTAGTTACCTCTTTGGAATTTGGATATAAAGATCTGAGTTTTCCTGGCCATTTTTTCAGCTGTTTATAATACTTTTTGCCAGTGAACAGAAAATGAATAACAAGAGGGGAAAAGAGAAATTTAAAGTATTTTATATTAATTTTACTGTCCTGTTGAAACACATGCTGAAAAAGAAAAAACATAATGTACATATATATGTGTGTATGTTTGTGTGTATGTGGTATGTATACATATATATGCATATATATGTTCTTCAAAATGAGAATTGAAATTACTTTCTTATGAAAATTTAACCTTGTGCTTGATCTAATGAAAGAGGGTTCATTTTATTCCTTGAGATCCATGTTCTAGGATTTCAAGTTCTAATAGAGGCAGTAGGAATAGTTTCCCCAGAATTCTGAATGTTCTTAATTTATGATAAGTACCTCAAACATAATAGATTTGTGCCTCTGTTAATAGGCGTTTTTCACATTTTTCAATTTTCACATAAAAGTGATTTTTTTCTGCTGTTGAAACTTACATAAATGTTTTATCTTACTATATCTGTGATGCTTCAACTTTCCTATCTCCTGGACTTTCTTACAGCAATAAAAATATCTACCCAAAGTGAAGTTATATGATTAATTTCTCCATGTATTTATATACTTCTAGCCAGAGCCTTCAGGGTATGTTTGTGTAGTGTTTATTTTAAATGATTAAAAAACTACTCATGTTCCCTTTTGCAAGTTCAAGTAAAGACCTGAGTATAACTGATGAGCCTGAAGGCCAAACAGATTTCATATTCACATCTATTCATCTATCATATCCCAGGAAAAAGAAAAAAGGATCTTGAAGATAGGGGACACTCCATTAAAGTCTCCTGGTTTCTGGGCTGCTATATTCTTTGTGCTCATGTAAAATAGAAAAGTATTTGGGGCTGCAGTCACTTAGTTCTTTATCTCTTTTTAATCTATTGTAGTTTTTTTTAAACTACCCCTACACCAGTTCAGAAAGAAGTAAACTGGAAAAAAATTTACTGAGGACAAGACAGCAGTAGTGAGTTGGCATATAGTGGAAACTGGTAAGGGAGGGGCAGAGGATACTTTCTGAGGATCAAATGAACTTGTTCATTATACTGAGGACTCCATTCTCATAAAATGGTAGTCAATGTCCAGAGTGACCTAAAAAGCATTTTCCATCTGCCCTAGCAGAAGTGCTGCTTGTCGGACTGAGTTTTTATTGGGCACACACCCAGAGGCTTACTCCCAGCCACTTCTCTGAAATGTGAACTTTTTCACAGTCTCTCATGCAATTGCAATCAAAATTGGATTATGGCAATATACTTTCCACAAATCAATCCTTGAGTATTGTTCAGAAGCATCAGATGGGCATAGAATGGGACTTAGGTGAGTTAGCTAGGACTGATTTACATCAATACTGTTGAATCTGAATCAGCAACATATCTAACTCTCAGAGAGATTCAAGTTATTGGCTAAATTCTGAGTAGATTAGTTTGGGTTAAGAGAGTTACAAAAAATACCATTGCCTACTTCTCAAGGGAATGGTTAATGTGTTGCAGTAGATAAAAGGCAGCAATTTCATCCTGAAAATTCAGCATGTAAAAATTATTAGCTAGAGGGCAGAGCCAAGATGGCAAAGTAAAAGCAATGTCTTGCTTAAGCTCTCCCCCAAACCCCTCCAAATAACTGTAAAAATGGCTCTAAACAAATTCTAGAGCAGCAGAACCCACAAAAAGACAGAATGAAACACATTTCCCGCCCAAGATCACCTGGATGGTTGACTGGAAAGGTCTATTGTGCTGGACTGGGAGAGGAAAGCAGTTCAGAGTGGGCATGCAGGCAAAGACCAGGCCTCAGTGAACCTGGAGCAGCCCTCAGAGGACTGGATCACGGGCAGCTGTGACCGTTCCCAAACTTCTCAACCCACAAATGCCAAAGACAACTTAGAAGGCCAGCAGAAAAAGTCTGTGACTGCGGTGAGAGAGAGAAGCTTGGTCTCAGCCCCAGTGTTGCCACAGCCCCGGGGCAGTGGCTACTTCTGGAGCTCAGCCCACAGACAGAGGGGCAATCAAGTGGCTTATCAGAGGGGGATTTCAGGGATCTCTTTGCTGGTGCTGAGGCAGGATTCTCTTGCTTTGCCCTTGCTTGGATCTGGATCACAGTTCTAAGTGGTGGTCCTGGGGTGAGGAGGAGCACTGGCATGGTGGAGCTTATAGTTACAGTGGAGAGGGAATCCTCACAGTTCCAAGGCAGAAAATAGTGCTTATGGTCACTCACAGACCAGAGTGCAGGCCAGGAAAGGAGTAGAAAACACCTCGCCCTTGATCATACCACCTTGGAAGAACTCAAGATTTACAGGTCTCTAGAAGTATCTCTGAAAACAGCTGCACAAAACCCCCAAAGCTTGGGACAGTACATTCTCCACACTGGAAGCAGACCCCTACCTTAACAAAGAGTTTAAAACTCAAGTTAATTGACTGGGATCATGAGCAAACTGCACAAAAATGTCAGACCATAGAATCTTTCTTTGGTGACAAAGAAGATCAAAACATACAGCCAGAAGAAGACAAAAAAGTGAAAGCTCCTACATCCAAAGCCTCCAAGAAAAGTATGAATCAGTCCCAGGCCATGGAAGAGCTCAAAAAGGATTCTGAGAAGCAAGTAAGAGAAATAGAGGAAAAACTGGGAAGAGAAATGAGATTGATGCACGAAAATCATGAAAAACAAGTCAACAGTTTGCTAAAGGAGGCCCCAAAAAATGCTGAAGAAAAATAACACCTTAAAAATTAGCCAAGGGGGCAGTTAGGTGGTGCAGTGGATAGAGGAGGAGTCTATTCACTGAAAGCTCTCTTTTCTTCCCTTCTTCATCATCACATTCCCTTGACATCATTGCTCATTTTCTATCTTTACTGTAATCTCTGAAGAATAAGAATGCTTGTGTCTTGCCAAAACCAATCTTTCTACACAACTGCTTGATCCTCTCCACTCTAGTCTTCTCAAGCCGGTGACTCCTATTGTCATTCCCATATCTCTAATCTTCATTCTTTTCCAATGTATTGGTTCCTTCTCTGAAGCCTACAAACATTTTTCTCCTTGCCATCTCAGCTAAATTCCTTGAAAAATCATCAATACTCAATTCCTATAATTCCTCTCCTCTTGGTCTCTTCTCAATTCACTGCCTAATAGCATTCAATCTCATTATTCAGCATTTTTTATTGTTCGATTATTTCAGTCACATCAGCCTCTTCGTAACCCAAAACTAGAGTAATTTGCCATTTCCTTCTCTAACTCTTTTGTATAGATGAAGAACTGAGACAAACAGAGTTAAGCAACTTACCCAGGGTCACGTAACTGTAGATGTCTGAGGCCAGATTTGAACTAAGGAAGAGGGGCCTTCCAGACTTCAGGCCCAGTACTCTATGCACTGTGTCACCTAGCTGCCCTTTTATTCAACATTACCAATGATATTTTAATGACCAAATTTAATATTTTAATTACCACATCTAATATGCCTTTTCTCAGTCATCCTCAATTTTTCTGTACCATTTGACATTGTTGACCACCCTCTGAATATTCTCTCTTATCTATTTTGGGGGTTTTTTTTTTGAGATATTTTTCTCTCTTAGTTCTCCTTTTCACTGCTTTTCACTGCTCCTTTTCATTATCTTTTCTGGATCTTCATCCATGTCATCCTCAAAAACTGTGCATGACTCCAGGTCTCTGTTCTAGACATCCTTTTCTATATATATTCTCCCTCTTGGTGATATCATCAGTTTCCATGGATTCAATTAAACTCTCTAGGCAGATGACTCCGACATCTATATAATATGCCTTAGTGCCTTTCCTGATCTTCAGATTACCTCACCAACTGCTTATTGGCCCCTGCAAACTGGATATCCTATAGACATCTCAAATTCAATGTGTTCAAAACTGAACTCATTATCTATTCCTCCCCCCCTCAAAAAAAAAATTCATCCACCTAGCCGTCCTCTAAACTTCCCTTTTATTGTTGAGGATACCACCATCCTTCTAGAAACCCAGTTTTGTAGTCTAGTGTCATCCTCAACTCATCATATATCAATTAACCTCACATATCCTATTGATTACCTAATCTTGCTTATGTCTTTATATTATTTTCATATGTGTTCCCTTATCGCTATTCACATAACCACTTAGTTCTGACCTTCATCACCTCTTGCCTGGACTATTGCAATAGCATCCTAATTGGTCCCCTTATCTCAATTCTCTCTCGATTCCAATCCTTCCTTCGCACAGTTTCCAATGTGATTTTCCTAAAGTTCCAAACTGATCATATCACTCCACTACTCAGTAGGTTCCTTACGATCACTAAGATCAAATATTAGCTCTTCTTGTGGCATCCCATGCTCTTTACAATCTTTCCACTTCCTACCTTTCTAGTGTTCTTACACATTACTCTTCTTCTACTCTACAATTCTGCCATAGTCTTGTGCTTGCTGATCTTCACAAATGACTTGCCATCTCTCTTTTCCATCCCTTTGCATTATCTCCCATGCCTACAATCTCTCAAATGAGTCAGCTCAAAAACCATTTTCTGTAAAAGACCTTTCCCAGTCCCACTCTACATTCTTAATTGCCAATGGCTTCCCTTCTGAGGTTACCTTGTTCCTACTTTATATGTACTGTTGTAGCCCAAGCCTGACTCAGGCCAGTTCAGGCTCAAGATTAAAATGAAATGAGACATTTATATTCCATTTTAAGAAAAAGGGGTAGTAAGTGGTTCTGTTATTTCATTGGTACAAGGAACTCCTGGGGGAGGAAACTTCCTCTACTGGTGTAAGCTGGCAATTTTTCTGCAACATATAGGACTGGAGAAGTGATTAGGAGTTAAATGACTTGTCTAGTACCATATAGTCAAGATGTGTGAGAGGTAGGACTTGAATCCCTGTGTATCTGTCTTCAAGCCCACTCTAAATCCCACTGTGACATGCTGCTTCTTGTAGTCTGTTTAATATTAATAAAAAGTTTAAATGTACTACATAGAGGTCAGCTAACAACAGCCTATGGTACAAATCAAGCCTGCTGTTTTTTCCATGGCTCACAAGCTGTTGTTATTGTTATTGTTTGTCCTTTGTTTTCAAAGAGAACCATGACATCAGGGATTAAAAACTATTCATAGCTTGTGGGTCATACAAAAT